TCACTCCCTTGTTATCTCTCGCCTTGACTATTGTAACTCCCTCCTCATTGGCTGACCTCATCGCAGGTTATCCCCTCTTCAGTCTATCATGAATGCTGCTGCCAGACTCATCCACCTTACCAACCATTCCATGTCTACCATCCCTCTCTGCCAATCCCTCCACTTGCTTCCCATTGTCCAACGAATAAAAAATTTGAAAACCTTAACAATAACATATAAAGCCATTTATAACTCTGCCTCAAATTACATCACCAATCTTGTCTCAAAATATCACCCAAACCATTCTCTCTGCTCCTGCTCCCTTGTTTCCTCCTCCTGCTCATCTCCAGGACTTCTCCAGAGCCTCTCCATCCTCTGGAGCTCTCTACCCCAATCTATCCAACTATCGCCTACTCTGCCCACTTTTAGGTGATCTCTGAAAACCTTTCTCTTCAGGAGAGCCTATCCTGCCTTCAGCTAATAACCGAATCTTCTATGTCTCTTACCAGTCCATCTCCCCACAGTTATCTTTTTTTAGTACCACCAGCCCCTCCCTCTTAGATTGTAAGCTCAAGGAGCAGGGCTCTCCTAATCCTCTTGTATTGTCTCCCTTTTTATATTGTAAAGCACTGAGGAAGCTGTTGGCTCCATATCAATCCTATATAATAATAATATTTAAACATCGTGATTACAAGGCAGCTGTGTCTGGGTCTAACTCCCACCAGGGACACCATACTTTATGCAATTTGCAGATTTCCTCAGGGTTAATGCAATCCTCATACATAGGCAGTTAAACCCAATCAAAACAATGTGTATAATCTACTTAAAGATAAAAAGTATGGCCCATCATTTCTAAAAAGGGGAGGGGGGGGGCACAGTAGACAAGAGAGAACTCAGGCCATACACAAGTTGAGGGAGACCTTTCAATACAGAAGGAATAGGAGGGCCAAAACTTTTCGTTATGGATGGAGTAGGGAATAGTTTAAAACCCTTGCAAGGTGTGTGGGTTTTTTTTTTTTTTTTTTTTTACAATTTGTCCCCTTTTTGAATTTCCTTTCTATTGCTGTACTAGGACCAACTGAGAAATTATGGATTTCCCTCACATTTAGTCCTGTCTGCAGGACAATTAAGAGATGGTGAATCCCCCAGTGGGGACACAGACAGCAGTATCTACCTGGTGGGACATCTGACCACTCATTGAAAACAACAACATTTTGGGTTCTGATACACTTTTAGCAATTATTATTTTCTGGAGGAGTCAGCAGATGAGGCCACCATGCAGATCCTGAATGTTTTCTGTCCTAAAGCAGTATGGCTCCATTGGCTATGTTCCCTCAGGGGTCTATAACCATTTCTCCATCTTGGATTTTGAGAAATGAAAACTGCATCAGCTCCAGGAGGCGTGCATTTGCCTCGATCAATGGTTATACTGCCTTCATAGACCAAAGGTACATGTTCAATTGACACAATCTATATGTTGGTAGAAAGCTGCAGAATGAATGTACAACTTAAGGTCAGTAGGTGTTCTTGGTGTATTTGCAGGACCTCTGTAGTTGGTAACAGAAGCTTGATCAGATGTAATAATCTCATGCAACTCTTTGGCACTGTAGGTCTCTGCAAGTTCAGCCTCATTAGTATGTACAGCAACCGGAGAATCTCTCTTCCTGCTCCTGCTTGGTACTTGGCAGGCCCAGCATGGGGGTGATGAGGAAATCCTCTTTACCTCTATCTCCTTCATCTGTGGAAGCTCCTCAGACAGGATGGACATCATTTCTGCAAGGGCTTCATGTTCATTGTATTAAGCTTTTAATGATATTTAAAGGCATCCTTTTGTTTACACACCTCTTACTGGAAATGTATGCTTCAATAGACCATTATCTTTATCTACTGGCAGTATTAATAACTTTGTATACTTATAAATATGGCCATAAATTGCTCCAAATTCAGCTGGTTTAGCATGGATTGGCCACATTTTGGATCCATTTAGGACCGTTCCCATTCAAGAGCAGTTGATGTAAAGATGGACTGCTCTTGAATGGGCTTGTTTGGAAAATTTTGCTTCAACCAGTGCTGATCAGTATATTCTGATGGTGGGGGAATAGCACAACAGGGAAAATTCCCTCATCCACTTTTTGAATATGTGAATGGGGAAATCGTCCAAACCCCTGCCTCTGATCAGAAAAACAATGGCCAGCTTAAAGTGGAACTTCACTGCATTTGAGCACCACAAACCAAAAATGCTATTTTTAATTCATTTTTGATATTTTAAAGAATACTCAATTCCCCCCCCCCCCCCCCCCCCCCCCTCTATCCATGTCCCCATGCTTTATTTTGCTGTGAAATAATTTTGAAAAAACACACACTCTGGCAGTGGCAATCTTGATTAAGGCCAGATGATACATTTACTTCCTAGAATCCATCTGCCCTTAGCTGAGGCAAGGCATTGGCTGAGATGAGAACCCTCCATCCCTTTCTGAAGATTCTTGGGATGTATGACAAAATTTGCATACCCACATGGAAGTAAAAAATATTTGAAATACATTTTAAAAAAATTCTTCCCAAATCTATTTGAAATGCTACAACTTTGGCCATATTCAACATATTTTTAATACAAAAAAGTGTGTGTGTGTGTGTGTGTGTGTGTGTGTGTGTGTGTGTGTGTGTGTTTAATACATTTTCAAATATATGGTGTCTCTTAATTACATTCCCAAAATGTAGATTTGTATTTTTAAAGAATATATCTTTAAATTATGTTCAGATTTTCTATATAGATATAACTATATTGGCCAAACTTGTAGCATTTCACATAGATGGCAATATATTTGGGAAGTATATTTTTTAAAATTTTATAGATTTCAAATATATTTTTCTTCCATATGGGTAGGCTTGGAAACCAGGAAAAAACTGAAGAAATTGGTAAAAAGAGTATAAAACAAATTTAATTTATCTATTTACTAATGCTAGCAGCATGAGGATCAAAAAACCATGTCTGTTGATTGAGAGTGAATTTCTGCTTTAAGTCGCACAGCTGTAAGAATGCTCATTCGATATGAGAGATGTCTAATCTTGCCAAATCTGATTTAATTAGATGTTGGTGGGGGTACCATGGTCCACCACAGATTACCGAGACCATTTAATAAATGGGCATAACTCCAACCACTGATCTTTCTCCCAGACACCCCTCCTCTTGCTGGCATTTTCTGCAAACTCGGGCATGATTGGCCTAAAGGATGCCTTTAGTAGCCATATGTGGGGGATTTTATTCATTTTTGGTTATCTGAACTTCTTTGGCCACAAGTCAAGCTCTTTAACCTGTTTGATTTCTCACCACCAATTCCAACCTTCACCCATTCCTTGACTATTTCTGAACTTTTGACAGCAGTTGGATGCAAAAATTCCTGTTCTTTTTAACCATAGTTACAAAAACTCTGTCCTCGAGCCTTAGATGATTGTAGTTCATATTCCAGCAGAAAAGAGGTCAGCTGAAGGTTCTATACCACAGCATTCCAGAACAAAGGCAACAAAAAGAGGTCAAGACATCTGAAAGTGACCCTTTTTAAGGGAATGAAGTTGTCAAAATATGTGGTGAATCCAGAGGTTAAAGGCTCATTTAAAACTTGTGTTTTGAATCTGGCTCTCATTAGGTTCGCTTTCACAGAATTGAGGATATGTTTTAATTCTGCTAACCATGGCTTGCCAAATCCAGCTGCCAGGTCCAGTACTGTAAAGTCCATTAAGTTAAAGTTCTTCTGTCATGAGAAAAGTACATGGGAAACCATTGCTGACCAGATCTCCATATCTGCAAATTTTTTGATGTGATTTATGAAAGACAGAGGGTCTGTATGACCGCCAGGCAAGAAAGATTAGCAAAAGCAGCCTCTTTGTCTCAGGACTAGCTTGCTTTTTAACTAAACCCAAGAGCAAAATGTAATCTTGTAGCTTTGGATGCGGTGGCTGCATTAGTTTTTTCATTTTTCAGACTAAATACAGAAAATATCTGATCATGCCAGAAATGCAGTGTCCTTGTCATTGTCCCTTGAGTTGAAATGAAAGCATTAACCCCTTGGTGCTGACCACCTCCTGGCCCTCTAGGGGTTCTATTAGCTGGGAGGCAGAGGTGGCCTTCTGGTCATGCGACTGCTGTGATTGGCTGTACAAGTGGTCACGCGATCAGAAAGCTCCTGAATGGAAGTATAAAATTAGAACTAACTGATGACCACCAGCTACCGTGTTGGGAGCGTGCTCTCAGAACCGTAAATGGGTTTAACAGGGCCACATATATGTGGCCACTTGGTATTTAGGCCCACACGCTGAGCGGCCGCATATATGCATGTGGTCTGTGTCAAAAGTGGTTCTAAAGGCAAAAGAAACTCCAGGCACCTCCTGCCTGGAGATATATATATATATATATATATATATATATTATATATATATATATATATATATATATATATAGCTTAACCTCAGCCAAGCAGACTGGTAGGTTAATTGCCTCATCTCTAAAGTGTGTGTGTGTGTGTGTGTGTGTGTGTGTGTAAAATGGGCACCTTCGATTTTATGCTCCTTGAGGGCAGGGACTGATGTGAATATACAATCTGTACATTGTTGGACCAGTTTATAAATACTGGTAATAAAGAAAACTGTCACTGTTGGCAACGTTTACAAAAATCCACCCTTTAAAAAGTTGCTGGAAGCTGTGCCAGAAAAAAAATCAGGCAGAGGGCAATGGGCTAGTCACTACTGTTGCCTCTGGTCTCTCTGCAGCTGATCTTTTCCCTATTACTGAGCTGCTGGCCTTTTATTCGGCATGGTGCCTGTGTGGAGGCGGCCATCTTGGTATGAACAGGGCTTTGCTTCCTTATGTCAGAATCTGCAGCAAAGAGAACCATGAGCAGAACTGTAGTGACATCACCAAACCTCCTGAGACTAGAATTTAGAGGAAGCAGTGCCTTGAACACTGTAAGGGTGCCTTCGTTTTATACTTCTGCATGGCTTCAATGCTTTTTATTGGTTTCTTACAGATCGACCACTTTGGTTTTGCTGAGGACTCCACATTTAGACAGCGGTATCTGGTGTCTGATACGCACTGGAAGAAGCCTGGCGGCCCCATCCTCTTCTATACTGGCAATGAGGGCGATATCACTTTGTTCAGCAATAACACAGTACGTATATCTCCATTTGTATTGGCTTTCATTTTTTATTTCCCAAAAAATTTGTGTAACAGAGTAGCAGCCATTTTTAACATTTGTGCACTCCAGCTCTTAACCACTTCAAGTCTGGACACTTTCACCCCCTTCCTGCCCAGGCCAATTTTCAGCTTTCAGCGCTATCACACTTTGACAATTGTGTGGTCATGCAACACTGTACCCATATGAATTTTTTAGCTTTTTTTTTTTTTTTTTTTTTTTTTTTTTTTTTTTGAGACAAAACTTTATTTGGGTGGTGTTTATTCACCACTGGGATTTTTGTTTGCTATATAAATGAAAAAGTCCAAACGTTTTGGAAAAAAGTTTTCTTATAAATGTTTGCAAATTAAATCTTTCTTCATAAATCATGGCCAAAATGTTTTCAGCTAACTTTTTAATAAAAAGAAAAACTCCAAATTAGCGTAAAAAAAAAAAATTATAATTTTTGGTTAAACATACTGTCACTCTAGCAGTATAGTGTCACCATAGTGACACTGTACTACTTGTGGGGGGTGATGAAGACTTATTTAATTTTTTTACACTGATTGCCATAAAGGCTGTAAAAGCAATAATTTCTCCTTCTCTCTCTGGCTGCATTATTGCAGCCATTGAGAAATGCTGCGTGAGCTGTGATTGGTCACAGCTTGTCACATGGTACATGGCTGTTGTGAATAGCCTTGTACTATGTGACCTCTGTGATCATTCACAGATTTCACAAGTAGTAAGCAATGTTAGCGACATCTTGCTTACTACTATTCATGTGATCACTGATTGGTCGATCACATGATCGGGACCTCACACAGAGGTCCCAAACAGCGTTCCTAGGGAGCGCGCACAGGCAGGGAAGCGGTGAGGACGTTTATAAACGGCCACCTGCTCCTGCAATGCTACCGTCCAGCTGTTTATATACATGGGACGTGGTTAAAGCTGGTAATCAAATGATCACTTACTAATTACCATTTTGGTTTATACATGTTGTATAGTTTGAAGTGATTGTAAAGATTTATTATAATTTTTTTTTTTTTTTGTTTTTTAGATGTTGAAAATACTTTTAGGGTAAGAAACCTTTTTTGTCTTTTTCTTAGAACCTTCAAAGGCATCTTCAGGACAGGAAGTGTAGGGAAATCTCCCCAGCAGGACACAGACTTCACTTAATAGGGAGTTATAACCTTTTCCCTTCTCTATCCCAAACTCAATAAAATGCATGCAAAGCCAAAACTTTTTTTTTTTTTTTTTTTTTAGTTTGGGATAGAGAAGGGAAAAGGTTATAACTCCCTATTAAGTGAAGTCTGTGTCCTGCTGGGGAGATTTCCCTACACTTCCTGTCCTGAAGATGCCTTTTTGAAGGTTCTAAAAAAAAGGCAAAAAAGGTTTCTTACCCTAAAGTATTTTCAACATCTAAAAAACAAGGAAGTAAGAGTATTTTTGTGGAAGGGGAATTAACACACTAAAAAACTATAAGCCACAGTTAGTTATTAGAAAATGTTTCACAATAGCAGTCTGTACAAAATGTAAACCTGGCATAAGAAATGCAGACTGCTGGGATGTCGCCCTGACCTTCTGGGTGCAGCACCTGCCAAGTACCCCAAAAATGTATGTAAATCAGGAAAGCCTAAAGTCCTTATCAGCATACCTGTGCTACGACAGTGGCTTGAACTAAAATACAAGTGTCAGAGCACCAGGACACTAGCATTTCCACAAAGGACAGCAGTGGCAGCCATTGTCCTTCACATTTCAATAAAATGCATGCCAAAACTTTTTTTTTTTTTTTTAAATGTGTAGGACAATGGCTGCCACTGCTGTCCTTTGTAGAAATGCTAGTGTCCTGTTGCTGGCACTTGTATTTTAGTTCAAGTCACTGTCGTAGCACAGGTATGCTGATAAGGACTTTAGGCTTTCCTGATTTGCATACATTTTTGGGGTACTTGGCAGGTGTTGCACCCAGAAGGTCAGGGTGACATCCCAGCAGTCTGCATTTTCTCTTATGCCAGGTTTACATTTTGTACAGACTGCTATTGTGAAACATTTTCTAATAACTAACTGTGGCTTATCATAGTTTTTAGTGTGTTTAATTCCTCTTTCAACAAAAAAATACGTTTTTGTTTTTTGTTTTGTTTTGTTTTGTTTTCTTTTCTTTTGTTTTTATCCAGCTGTAATTACTCCAACTTATAACATCCAAGTGAAAGAGAGTGAACATCATGTCAGAATTTTTTAATTTTTTTTTTTTTTTTAATTCTAAAACAAAATCCTTGAAATAGGGGAGGGGAAAGGATCACCCCTTGTGTCAGTATTTTGTCCAACCACTTTTTTGCTTTAATTCTACCCTTTTAGTCTGTTGGGGATATGTCTCTACTAACTTTGCACATCTAGACTTTGCAATATTTGTGCACTCTTTCCTCAAGTTCAAACCCATTGAAAATCTGTGGAATGACTTGAAGACTACAGTCCACAAACATTCCATCAAATTGAAGTCTGGGCTTTGACTAGGCCATGCAAGGACATTCTCTTTTTTTTTTTTTTTTTTTTTTTTTTTTTTTTTTTTTTTTTTTTCTCCAATCACTGTGGGGTAATTTTTGCTGTGTGCTTTGGGCCATTGTCCTATTGGAAGGTAAACCTTCTTTCCATTGACTATGTTCTGGCAGAGGGCAGCAGATTTTCCTCAAGAATTTGACGGGATTTTTTTTTACCCCAATGGGCAGCACAGTGGCTAAATGGTTAGCACTTCCGCCTGCCAGTACTAGGGTTGCTGGTTCAAATCCCAGCCATGGCACCACCTGCCTGGAGTTTGCATGTTCTCCCTGTGCCTGCGTGGGTTTTCTCTGGGTACTCCAGTTTCCTCTCACACTCCAAAGACATGCTGGTAGGTTAATTGGCATCTGTCTAAATTGGCCATAGTATGTGTATGTATGAATGTGAGTTGGGGACCTTAGATTGTACACCCCTTGAGGGTTAGGGACTGACGTGAATGTACTATATATATGTAAAGCACTGCGTAAATTGACTGCGCTATATAAGTACCTGACGTAAAAAAAAAAAAAATAACAGGATATTACAACCTCTGGAAATTATTAATGTTCTGTTGAGGTGTGTGTGTGTGTGTGTGTGTGTGTTTTTTTTTCTAAAAATTTAACTCTTAAAATTAGTAGAAGGAAAGAGGGGGGGAAAAAAAAGTATTATTATACAGTATTTATAAAGCGCCAACAGTTCGCTCAGTGCTGTACATTACAGACCAGTAGCTTCAACTGACACCTGTGTCTCTGGCTATGTTTGCCCGAATCTGAGTATGAAGAGTTGAAATACAATCAACATTCCCTAGCTTTGTTATTCCACGGAATAAAATTATTAAAAATGGTAAACTGGAGACAGAACAGCACGGGACATGGCACACTTTTTTTTTTTTTTTTTTTCTTTTTTTTTTTTTTTTTTGCGGGGCGCCGCCGCCTGTGTGCTGTCAGCTGAATAAATGGAGTTAACCGAAATCCTCACTGTGTTTGTGGCTCATTTTATGTAGTTTCACACAAGGTCCTATCTCTCTTAGTACTTTGTTTCAGATGCAGTTCTTTATCATGGAAATACCAAACTGAAATCTTTTAGGGGGAAGTAAACAGAAACTAAAAATAATGTAGTTGCTTAAGTGTGCACACCCTCTAACTGGGGATGTAGCTTTGCTCAGAATTAGGCAATCACATTCAAAATCATGTTAAATAGGAGTCAGTACACACCTGCCATCATTTTTTAAAGTGCATCTGATTAACCCCCAATAAATGTTCAGCTGTTCTAGTAGGTATTTCCTGACATTTTTCTTAGTCACATCCTACAGCAAAATCCATGGTCCGCAGAGTGCTTCCAAAGCATCAGAGGGATCTCATTGTTAAAAGGTATCAGTCAGGAGAAGGGTACAAAAGAATTTTAAAAAGCATTCGAACACAATGAAGAAAGTGATCAAGTGGAGAAAATGTGGTGCAACAGTGACATTACCAAGAACTGGACGTCTCTCCAAAATTTATGAAAAGACGAGAAGAAAACAAGTACTGGCTATGTGGTACATGTGACAACAATCTCCCATATTCTTCCTATGTCTGGGCTATGGGTAGAGTGGCAAGACGGAAGCCTTTTCTTAAAGAAAAACCATCCAAGCCTGGCTAAATTTTGCCAAATCACATCTGAATTCTCCCAAAAGCATGTGGGAAAATGTGTTTTATGGTCTGAAGAACCAAGGTTGAACTTTTGGCCATAATTCCAAAAGATATGTTTGGCGCAAAAACAATACTTCACATCACCAAAAGAACACCATACCCACTGTGAAGCATGGTGGTGGCAGCATCATGCTTTGGGGCCATTTTTCTACAGCTGGAACTGGGGCCTTAGTCAAGGTAGAGGGAATTATGAACAGTTCCAAATACCGGTAAATATTGGCACAAAACCTTCAGGCTTCTGCTAGAAAGCTGAACATGAAGAGGAACCTAATCTTTCAGCATGACAACAACCCAGAGCAGACATACACATCAACAAAAGACGCAAAGCCAGAGCCCAAACCTGAATCCAATGGAAAATCTGTGGGGTGATCTGAAGAGGGCTGTGCACAGGAGATGCCCTCGCAATCTGTTGAATTTGGAGTGGATTTGGGAGGAACAGTGAGCAAATATTGCCAAGTCAGGATGTGCCATGCTGATAGACTCATACCCAAAAAGAGTGAGTGCTGGAATCGCATTAAAAGGTGCTTCAACAAAGGATTAGTTTTAAGGGTGTGCACACTTATGCAACCATATTATTTAGTTTTGTATTTTTACTTCCCACCACCTAAACTATTTCAGTTTGTTGTTCAAATGAGTTGTACAGTTTTTATAGGTTCCATTAAAGGTGGAAAGAGTTCTGAAATGATTTATCTTTGTCTCCCTTTTTTTACTTCACAGAAACCTGACATTTTAACAGGGGAGTGTAGACTTTTTATATCCACTGTATAGAAATGTGCATTTGGATGATATTGCATCAGAGATATATTTTTACACTAGCACTCCTCTAGAGTGGGGGGTCTGCAACCTGGAAATCACAATCTATCCATTAATCGCGGGCAGGTTATGGGGCAGCAATAACTGGAACTAATCCCCTGCCTTTTCCTTCTGCAGAAGCTGAAAACTGGCTTCTCCTTCTCTTCCTCCCACCAGCATTCAGCTGATGCAGGGGATAAATTCCTGTAAATGCTACCTCACTTCTCCTTCCAGCTGGCCAGTAAATGTCACTGATCAGCCTCTTCCTTTTCTAAATGAACAGAGTGATCGGTACTGATAATGCACCATATTCATCTATAAATGAAGCATACTAAACTGTTTAATATGCTTCAGTTTGTGAATGAACAGGGAGACATTGCAGAGCTCTTCCTGTTCATTCATTTTGTGCAGTTGAGGCTGCAGAGATGGAGATTGAGAACTGTCTCGGAATTGCCTTGCGGATTTTGGTCCTGCTAAAGTGGGGCACTATAGAGCTCAATTAACAACATTTCAAATGCTGAGGTTCTAAGAACCCCTCGTCATTGCATATCTAAATATGGACCAAGTAGAGAATGACCATGTTGTTCAGTTTTACTCCTACTGTAAGGGACCGCCCGGCGGTACCACTAGCACTCCACTGATCAGGTGTCCCCAGAGCACGGAATCTAAGCCCCAGAGTACTTGTTCACCAGGGCCCCTGATGGTGGGGATGGACTTGGAGTACCCTGAGACCAGTTCGTGACTACTGAGCACGCCCGTCAGTGGTAGGGGTATTCGCCAGGGGCTCCCGCAGGGGAGAGCCTGATATGAGGAGGTCGGGTGACCCCCGATGGGATGGATGGCTGAGCAGGTGCAAAGTTAGACAAGCCGGATCGGTAGCCATGGGGACGGTGCGGTACAAAGCAGCGGGCAGAGAATAGTCGGGTCACACGCCAGGTCAGTAACAGAGTATCAGATCCAATAGGGGGCATCCGGGAGAGAGGTCAGGCAAGCCAAGGGTCAGAGCAGGAGAATACAGCGTGGTCAGGTACAATCCGGGTCAGCAACTTACAGGATCAGGAATGCAGGTAAGACCAGAAGGCACTGAATGACAGCTCAGGGGCGTTTAAATATTGCGCCGTCATTGGTGCCAGGCGCGTGCCCGCGGCTCCTAGTGCGCATGCGCGAACCCGGACGCCGCGGCCGGCCAGGACCTATTGCCCGCGTCCCTGCACAAGGCGGCGCACTGCGCCGGGACCAGCACCACGGGGATCCCTGACACATACATTATAGCAATATACTAGGTCAAATCGCATATATAAATATAACCTTCTTTTTTTTTTTTTTTTTTTTTTTTTTTTTTTTTCCTCCAGGGCTTCATGTGGGACATAGCGGAGGAGCTTGGTGCCATGCTGGTATTTGCTGAACACCGCTACTACGGTGAATCAATGCCTTATGGTAACCTGTCCTATAGTGTAAGTATTCTTAGGGGGGGTGTTGTGGGTGTTTTTTGTAACAAAAGTATTTAACGAGTATGTGTTTCTCCTTTTTTTTTTTTTTTTTTTTTTTTTTTTTTTTTCTTGGCAAACGTTTGACTAAAGTTCAGTTCACACTGCCGCGACTTGGAATCCAATTTGTGGGAACACAAGTCGCATGACATGTGAAATCCTATGTTGGCCAATGAGAGCTGTCTTAATTGGCACTACTGAAGTCGCTCTGACTTTAGAAATGGTTCCTATACTACTTCAAGGCGACTTGTGCCCATAGACTTTCATAGGAGTAGAATCCTCATCTATATTGATCTGACTTGGATCCAACATTACAGGAAGATTGAAGCAACTTTCAGGGAATGCCTGAGTAAAAGTAGTACTCAAGTCGTGTGACTTTCAGGTCCTAGTAGTGCAAACCAAAACTTATACATGTCTGGTGCTGATATGAAAACAAAAGGCAGAATTTGATGGCTACAAGCAACAAAAAACACTTTCTACTTGATGGCCCATGTAACTGCAGCTGTTCTTCTGAAAACTAGAGTAAAAATGGTGCAGTTGGCTATAGCAGCGAGGATATATCTTTCTAAGCTGTACTTTATGGCCTAGTATTTATAAATTGGCCCTAGTTGGCTTATAGCCTACATGGACATGTAAAGGTGGCAGATAACTCGCAGTGTCCTTGGTTGGATAGTGCTTTGTGAAATCCATAGACATGATAAAACCAAATTTGTTGATCTCCGATTCGAAGTGGATTAGCTCAACTTGTAATTCCTTAAACTTTCATATTGGTACTTGGTGGGTCCACTTTCCATTGGCTTAAATTGTGTGTTTTTATAACGTTTTATTTGGTATGTTGCCACCTTTTTGCCTTGACAAAGGGACTTTGCGAAGTACATAAATGTTGCATTTGCTTCGTGACATTTTGAATGAATAAAGTTCTGTAGAATGGAGGCATGCTATTGGCATGCATGACTTTATATATGGCATTCATGGTAAAAGTGCCGTTCAGTTTAGTAGTCTATTGAGATGTATAGTGCTTTGACTTCTTTTCCTAGAGTGTCTCACCCTTTAAAATCAGTAAAAGTCTTTGCTGGTCAGATTCGGAAACCGTTAAGTAGACTCTTGATGAAGACCACTACTGTTATTAAAGCAAGGAATTTTCTCCTTTCTTTCAGATAAACCTACTCCCTAAACTACACTATTCTCCTCCTAAAATACGGTCACCAGAATAACTTCTAGTAATTCTTTTCCATCTAGAGCTATGACTCAAAAAAAGACGCTGATAAAAGATCGCTTTCATTTACTGTTTTAACAGGACCCTGTACATTTGAATTATCTGACCTCAGAACAGGCTCTCGCAGATTTTGCTGTTCTCATAAGGTTTTTTTAAAGAGAGTTTGGAAGCCAAGCACAGCCCAGTGATCGCTATTGGGGGGTCCTATGGTGGAATGCTGGCAGCCTGGATGAGAATGAAGTATCCGCATGTTGTAGTGGGGTAAGTGAGGAGTCTTAAAATGCCCACTATAAATTGCTGATCGCCGCCATTACTAGTATTAAAAAATAAATAAAAATTCCATTTGCCATTTGTAGATGCTATAATTTTTATGTAAACCAATTAATATACACTTATTGGGATATGGATGGATATATTTTTGCCAAAGACATGTAGCCGAATACATTTTGGCCTAAATTTTATCTATTTATTTTTTATTGGATAGGTTTGGTTAGCAAAATATCAAAAATGTTTAACTTTTTTTTTTTTTTTTTAAATTGACTTTGTTTTGTATATAGCGCACAAAATAAAATATGCAGAGGTGATCAAATACCACCAAAAGAGAGCTCTATTTCTGTGAAAAGAAAAAAGACGTAAATTTCATTTTATGTACAGCGTTGCATGACCATGCAATTGTCAGTTAAAATAACACGGCACCATAGCGCAAAAAATGGCCTGGTCAAGAAAGGGGTGGAGGGGGGTAAATCTTCCAGAGGACAAGTGGTTAACATTTCAATTCGCTTTACCAGTTTAAATATTGCAGAAAAACTTGTGGACTTATACTAAACTGTTCTAGTCTGTAATTTTGCCTAGTTATATTTGTTCTACATTTTATAGCCATCAGCAGAGTTAGTTTGCTCACAATTCCAAAAACAAAAAAAAAAAACCCTAAAGAGGAAATTAAACCTCCAACAAAAATTATGTTTTTGTAAAAGGAAAAAAAAAAAAAGACGAATGATGACAACCCTGTAACCTTGCTTCCTTCCTAACTGATCCATACTGACAGCTGCGGAACCCAAAGCACAGCTCATTTTAAAACATGTGACTCCAGCAGGATACTAAGCTATTAGAAGCAGGAGTGCTGGAAGATCAGCATTCTATCATTTAAAATGAAAAACTCTCAATCTCACTCAATCAACATTGACTATTCTTAATCCCTATGCTGCTAGCATTAGTAAATAGTTAGTTGTGTGTGTGTGTGTGTGTGTGTGTGTGTGTGTGTGTGTGTCCCCTGATGCTCAATGCATTCCTTGTACTAAAAAGGTAAAAAAAAAGTTTAATGTATAAAATGTTTAGGCTCTATAACCACTTTGATTATAAAGTAGGGCAGCACACTGGATAAATGGTTAGCACATCTGCCTGGCAGTACTAGGGTCGTTGGTTTGAATCCCAGCCACGGCACCACCTGCCTGGAGTTTGCATGTTCTCCCTGTGCCTGCGTGGGTTTCCTCCAGGTACTCCGGTTTCCTCCCACACTCCAAAAACATGCTGGTAGGTTAATTTGGATCCTGTATAAAAATTGGCCCCAATATGTGGTATGTATGAATGTAAGTTGGGGACCTTAGATTGTACGCCCCTTGAGGGTTAGGGACTGATGTGAATGTACAATATATGTAAAGCGATGCGTAAATTGATGGCGCTATATAAGTACCTGAAATAATAAAGTGGAAATAATAGCAGCATTTTTCCTCCTTCCTTCCATTGACCCAATGTGCCTCCCATACCTTGAATTACCAGCTATCTCCTTCATTCCCTCACCACTCCATTCAGCTCTAGGAGCCAAAGCAAGGATAAAGCTGGCCATACATTATGCAATTTTTCAGTTTCCTTCTAGATTTACCATCAACCATGTGGTTCAAGGGCTTGCCTGATTTCATATAAATTTAAATATGTTTAGGTTTGACCTCCTACATTATATTATATAAGGTTTTGGTAAATCTAAATGAAAATGCCCCAACCCCCTAAGGTGTACTTGCCTATCCATGCTCTTTAGCCGCTTCCCTGCTGCAAGAGTTCACCCTGGGTAAGCTCTAGTAGTGAGAAGGTGCAGAGATCGGTGAATCTACCTAGCTTGAGGGGGATGGGCTCTTGTGACAATGGGGTTGATTTTACTAAAAACATTTTAATACTGGTCCATGGACAGTTGTACTTTTTGCATTTTGCCCCAGAGCTTGGTTAAAAAAAAAAAAAAAAAAAAAAAAAAAAGTGGAGCTCTGTGGGCTTCCATTGTCCAATCAAGCAAAAAGTGTGTGGTTGTGTTTTTGTGTGTTTTTTTTTTTTTTTTTTTTGTTTTTTTTTTTTTTTTTTTTGTTTTTCTTCCTTGCACGCGATTGGGTATTCTTTGCAAAGTGAAACTTCACTGCAATCACTAAGCTCTGGGACAAATTTGCGAAGTTCAACTTCCCCTGTGAAGCCTGTTTTTTGCCTTTTACCAAATCAACCCTAATGTGCTTCATTAAGCTGAGAGAGAGTTGGCTGTGCCATGTTTTGCTGTTATCCTGAGTATATAGACAGAACTTACAGGAAGAAAAATTATATAAAAGGATGGGGAATGTTGGGTGCTAGGGTTTTGCCCTGCATTTATTATCCATTTTCCTTGTATCCTCTTCTCTTTCCTTTGAATGTAACAATTTTTAACATTTATTTAAAAAAAATCTTTTGAAATATATGTATTCTTACCAAAAAGGTATATTCCATTGCTCGTAGCCTTTACCTAAGTGTGTTTGTGTGTGATTTTATTTACTTATTTTCTGGTGCTGTGATGTTCCTCTTAGGTGGCTACAGTTGTTCTCCATGGACACCTCGTAGGTAGGAACATTCCCACCTTCTCACTCCCAAGATGGTGTATCTGCTATGAGTTTTGCAGTGTGCATAATTCAGTGCTCGTGACCACAAATACCTTGCACTTTTTTCCAAGTGAGCAGTAAAAGGAGAGGTTTGGGCGCTCAGGTTGGATATTTCAAGGAGGTAGATTTTTCATGAAACCTAGATTACAAGACCATTACGGTGTGTGTGTAGATTCTTTTTCGTAAATAACAAGCTTGTTTAGCATCACAGAACTTCAGTGCTGGCAACTTCTATCCTCTGAAAACCTAATCACCCAAAACCCGTCCTTCAACTTTCAGGGCTCTGGCTGCTTCGGCTCCAATCTGGCAGTTTGAGGATTTGGTTCCTTGTAACCTATATCATCAAATTGTCACAAATGACTTTAAGAAGAGTGGATCTGGATGTGCTGAAAGCGTATCAAAGTCCTGGGCTGCCATAAACCGTATGGCAGAGACGGGTAAGTGTCTCTGGCATCATCTTTTATATTGGGTAGGGCTGGGACAAGGGATGTGCGGGAAGGGCGACTGCCCTGGGCATCATAGGTTTACTGTAGGTATAGGGGCGCCTTTCTTTTTTGTTACAAGGCTGACAGAAATAGTGACCGCGGCAGTGATTTTGACAAGCAAGAGACTCCTGAGTGTAGGATCCCCCTAAGCTTGAAAATCATGAATGGGGGGTGGGGGTGTGCAGTTTGGCACATCTGCCCTGGGAACTGGATGTCTTTGTCTGGGCACTGATGTTGGAAAGAGCCTTTCTTTGGAAAACTTAAACTCCTACCTCATCTTCCTTTATTACAGATGATGGCATCCGATGGCTATCAAGCACGTTTCACATGTGTTCTCCACTTAAATGCAAGGAGGATGTGATGGCGATGAAAAGCTGGATGTCTGATATTTGGATAAACCTAGCCATGGTGGACTATCCATACCCCACCAATTTTCTGGAGCCATTGCCGGCCTGGCCAGTTAAGGTAATCTATGAAAAAAAAGGAGACCATCTTTTTAAAGCAAGCTATCTTGAAACCAATCCCTCCTGAGTGAAATGCTAGAATCATTAATATACCAATATATTGCTGCTCCTCTTGAGGCCAGCTTGAAGTGGTTTTGAGTTCTTGACGCAGCACTTTTTTGTCAACAGGCCAATCAATGTTTTTATCCAGCCACAGCCACAATTCTCATTTACGATCTTCAAAGGGAAAGTTTAGGCAACAAAGTAGACACTCTTGATCTTGTCAAGTTTTAGACCACTTGTGACTTTCATGTGTAGCTCACCCCCTAAGGAACCACTGGTGAACGTGTTTTCTTTTTTCTTAGTTGGAGCACACACAGCCAGGCACACAGTATTTCCCCGTTCTTCCACTAGCTTGCATAGAACAGTCTCTAGGGGTGTCCTTTTTTTTGGCACTTTTATTGAAACATGGAACTTGGATGGGGAAACGGGAGCATGGGATACCCCAAACTGATGAACTGAACTCTTTTGAGGACTCTTCTCCATTTCACAGAGCTGTACAAAAAAATCCCACTGACTGGTGACTATGAGTTTTTCCAATAGACCAAAAGCTGCACAGTCACTAACATCAGCACTGGGGTCATCTACTCACAATGTCACAGGATAATCGGTGGCCTTCTTCTAATATCCTCCGGGCACTTGTCAGTGAGGGAGATACGAACTCCCACCACCATAGGACAGCTGGACACTTTTCCCCTAACTTAATCCTGGCACTCCTGCAGTGAGCATCTCCAGACTTAAACCAACTGTAGAGCTAGGCTTTGCAAAATAGGCCCCCTCAGCTAAATCTGTAGCTGGGACCTCAACGCTTTTAGATGGTACCTTCAGTAATCCTGCCCCAGGGGTTTCTGCCAGCATCACTGTACCTGGAATTCTCTTCCCTTGCTCCTGGCTCAGACGATCTATGGACTCTCCAGGCACCTACTGGGCACACCTTCCCAGGGATTGACTGAAGTCCCTATAAATATTTTAGGCTGCCCAATCTGTTCTTCCTCCCACTATGGTTCCAAAATCTTCTATAACAGGGGATCTCCAAACTTTCTAAACAAAGGGCAAATGAATTGTCCTTCAGACTATAGGAGGGCTGGACTATGGCATGTGGAGGTAGAAAATACCTCAGGCTTGGTGGGCAGTGAAAGTAAAAAAAAAAAAAAAAAAAAAATCCCAGTACCTGTGATCAATAGCGGGAAGGATAGTGCCCCCATCGGTGTCAGTGGGAGGAACAGAGCCCCCATCGTTGCCGATGGAAGAAAGGGTGCCCCATCATTGGTGTCAGAGAGAATAATGCCTTTTATCCATAACAGGAATAGTGCCCCAAGGGCCCGATTTAAAGGCAGGCAAAGGCCGCAGTTTGTAGTCCACTGCACTAGAATGCCTGGGGAAGTAATCAGAGCAGCAGCCTGTGAGACACTGTTTGGTAAGTTGTTGATTGTTCTGGCCTGCTCAATCTGCACTAAACTAGGAGGGTGCTACACCGGTCAGTGGTTACCAGTGCAGATCCACAACCGATTTTATTGTGGTGGTTAGTTGCCCATAGTCTAAAAAAAAAAAAACAAAAACGCCAGGATCTTTCACTTAAGCAGGCCATAGATTATGCAATTTTCTTTCCTTCCACCATGGATAGATTACGTGCAACCATGGTGCCCAAGCATGGATCACAATTCTGCTGGTCCCTGCTGAGCTGGACAAATTTCAATCCATGTATGGCCAGCTTACAGGTATGTGTTTGGTGTCTGTAAGCACTGTGTTCAGGCAGAAATCTTTTGTAAGATTGGCCATTAGATTGAGCCACCCCAGCCAACCATCATCTATCTGAATACCTGGCTTTGTTCTTTGACATATCCAAACTTCTAACATCTCACTGTCTCCCTGTAGGAAGTATGTAAGCAACTGAAGAACCCCAACCTTGATGACAAGAAACTGCTGCAAAATATTTTTCAGGCAGTTAATGTGTATTTTAATTACACCGGGAAGACGCCTTGCCTCAACACCTCTCAGACCGCTGTGGGCAGCCTCGGTGATCATGGCTGGAATTACCAGGTAATGCCACAAATTGTTGCAGCGCATGTCACCGAATACTAAAATCTAAACCTCCCCTTTTTTTTTTTTTTTTTTTTTTTTTTTTTTCACTCACTCATGATAGTCAAAGCCTCCCAGTCTAAAGGTGCCCATTTGTGATGCAATTTTGTCTTTTTTTTTTTTTTTTCCATTTTATGATCGAAACTATGGTCTTATTTCGAAACAATGGGCTTTAAAAGAGAAGTTTGGCCAAAGCTCCTGTGGGTCACAGGAGCGCACTTGTACACTCCTGTGACCCAGAATCAGCTGTCAGTAGGCTAAAGCCCACTCCAGACTCTGGAGGGATCCTGACAATAATGGCTGGCTCAGTCTCTCAGCATGCCACTGAGCCCCTGTCAATTCTTGGGCTTAGAGCGTGTGTGTGTGTGTCCCAATCTTATATGGGATGTGCACCACACTGTCTACATCAGCCATTCTCAAACAGGGTTCCTCCAGAAGCGGCTTTGGTTCCTTGAGCTGCGTCTGACCTCCCGTTTGATAGGGTCAGCATAGTTCCGGGGCCAATTCCACTTGGCAAAGCCAGCAGTATGAGTCCGTGGTGTTCTGACTACCACTGTAAAAGGGCAATTTTTCCCACTGCCCCCTAATTTGGTTTAAACATGGGTTTCCTGGGACCTGAAAATGTGATTTAGGGGTTCCTTTGATGCCCTTTTTTAAGTGTGTGTGTGTGTGTGTGTGTGTGTGTGTGTGTGTGTGTGTGTGTCCCTTTTTTCTAAAAAAAAAAAAAAAAAAAAAGTGGATGAAAAGGGGAGGAGGGAACCAGGAATGGCAAATAACAAGCAAATTTTCTGCTTCCAAACTGGAGACCCATTTTTAGTCCCTATTTTGGTATGCAATCCTCAATATTCCTCCCCCTTCCCTTCCCTTTTTTTTTTTTTTTTTTTTTTTTTTTTTTTTTTTCTGGTACAAAACATGACCTACAACGCACAATGTTATGGGAACCCTCATGCTTAAAGTATTTTAAACACTTCCTTTGAATTCCAGAACATGAGATCTTTGCATAGAATAAGCTGTCTGGTGTCTAAATATGAGGGCTGACTAGATTCCATGATTGCTGATCTGCATGGTGGGTCCAATTATCTAAGGCCTCATGTCTTACAATGTCTCAAGTAAGCCGTACGGCATGTGGTTGTTGGGTGTATTGAGTGTGTAACCCCTGTGGTAATATACCTTGGTGCAAAAGAATGCATTTCACAGGGCTGTCAAATGTCTGTTTTAAGAGTATATTTAACCCCTTACCCCTTCATGCCCAGGCCAATTTTCAGCTTTCAGTGCTGTCGCGCTTTGGGTACAGTGTTGCATGACCACGCAGTTGTCATTTAAACAAAATCTTTATTTATTTTTTTTATTCATAGTGCAAAAAAGTTTTTTTTTGTTTTTTGTCTTTGCAACATTTTGTGCACTGATGAGGCTGCACTGGTGGGCATTGATAAGAGGCACTGATGATACTGCACTGATGTGCAGCAATGATGGTCACTGATGGGCGTCGCAGATGGCGCTGATGGGCGCAACCGCTGAGCATCAAACGCATTTGCAAAAACGCACTGCAAAAACAGATCAAACGCAAACTGCATAGGTATGAGCCTAGCCTTATGGATAACTCCACTTTCATAGGGAGAAAAATGGCAAAAAAAAAAAAAATTATTCTAGCATATACAATTGCTACTCAAGTCCTATTGTAGTTGAATGTGATCTAAAAATGACCTCTTCAACTCCTATTCAATCTGCAGCGCTGTTTTTTTCTGTAAAATGCAATATGGCAACCTGAAGGCGTTCTGTACACAGATGGTATACAGAACACCACCCAGAAATGTCATTTTCTGCTTGTGTGATTGGCTCACTGATTTTCCCAGAAGTCTTGTATGAAGGTAAAGTCAGATTGGACATCCCCCTGCACCGAAGATTTCATTTTAATCATATACACTCTAAGGATTAATTATTCCTAAAGGGATGCAGACCCTGCCACATTCCTCATGTGTGTTATTCCTCTCGACAAAAGTGGAGTTACCCTTTTCAGAGCCTTGCGTTTATATCTCTATCTTTACCAGGACAGTTTGTTAGAAATGATCATGAGTATCTGTGTACCTCACAGTAAAGCTGTGTACACATGCAGTTGTGTGTGTTGTGTGTGTGTGTGTGTGTGCCAGGTTCACGCCCCCCCCCCCCCCCCCCCCCCCCCCCCCCCCCCCGGCGTGAACCTGGCACCGACAAACAGCGGACCCCCATCCCAGTGGAGGGAGCCTGGCAGTGACCAACAACACCCCTGCTTCCCCCACCCGAGAGAGCCTTCCAATAACACCCACCCATCCCCACCCTGGCAACAGAGACACTCGCCTTCACAGCTGCAGGCATCCCCGAGAACGTGGGTCGGGCTCGGCATACACCAATAATCAGCCCGCAGCCTCTTTTGGCTTGCACCTGGTCCCCATGCCGCATATGTCTCTTCTTCCTGGGAGGGTGCGCCCCTGGACAGGGTTGCCCCCCTGAAAAATGCCGCCCTAGGCAAATGCCTTGTTTGCCTTGTAAACGCCAGGGAAATACGCCCTTGGACAGGGGGACCGGTTGGACCCTGTGTGTACCAGGTCTTAAATTGTTACTAAACCCTGCAGGACCCTGCATTCGCTATGTCCGGTCTCTCCGGACCCTGCATTCGCTATGTCCTCCTCCGGTCTCTCCGGACCCTGCATTCGCTATGTCCGGTCTCTCCGGACCCTGCATTCCCCGGTGGACATTCGCTATGTCCGGCCTCTCCGGACCCTGCATTCGCTATGTCCGGGCCTCTCCGGACCCTGCATTCGCTATGTCCGGTCTCTCCGGACCCTGCATTCGCTATGTCCGGTCTCTCCGGACCCTGCATTCGCTATGTCCGGTACCCTCCCTAGGACCCTGCATTCGCCCTATATCTGGTCTCCCAGGACCCCCTGCATTCGCTACTATATCTGGTCTCCCAGGACCCTGCATTCACTATATCTGGTCTCCCAGGACCCTGCATTCACTATATCTGGTCTCTCCGGACCCTGCATTTCGCTATATCTGGTGTCCCACAGTACACACAACATGGAAATGCAATTATTTTAGTAAATATAAACTGCTAAATACCTTTTTATCATCAGCAGTAAGAGCAGTCTTGTGACTTCTATTAGTGTCCAGCAGAGCACTGGTTAAGTCTTGTAGAAGGAGTTTTCTCTAGGAGGATGCAGAACCTGTGTTGATCACAAGTACTCTTCCAAGAAGAAAATAAGCTTCTCTAGCAATACACACCAAACTGAGCATGTGCAGAGTGCCTCCACATGATATGTTTTATCAGGGGATAAGAGGGGGACACTGGAAGAAGGGGAGGATTAGAGAAGATAGGATCAAATAGCATGTTTACACAATGCAGAGGATTAACCCCTTAGGTTCCACAGTGAGTATAACAAGCATGCTTTACTGCATATACAGACTGATTGTACTGTTGTGGGTTTAGTAAGACTTTTTTACTTTACAAGTCTGGATTAATAAATTCCTGACCTGTCCTATATATATATATATATAGCAATTGTATAGCTCAACTTTTCTTTATTGTAAGTCATCTTTCATCTCCAGTCTGCTGCAGGCAGGGAGAAGCATTTCCTCAGTCTTCCCTCCTCCAGTGATCAGACCTGCAACATTGTAATTTTGTAGCAAGTCACAGGGTGTGAGGCTGTGGAAGGGGCTGGTCTGTGTCAGACATTTTGTGAACAAGAACTGTAGCGGCACCAGGTTTTACATGATATGCGTAATCTCTGAGCCAGCGGCTCAGTTCAAGAATCAGATGCTGACCCTGAATACTCCATTAACAAAGATGGCTCTGTCCTACTGGAGAGGAAATTTGGACGAAGGCCATTTTTGTTGGGGCGAGGGGTCGTGGACTGTGATCTTTGAGAGGTAATAAATACTTAGCATGGTACACAAAAAGTGTAACCTTGCTAAGTGTGCTTCTAAAACCTGACCAATATTGGGACCATGTAATACTGAGGGTGCCACTGTAGACCTACTCCAATAATCTGACTCCTGTATGGGTGCAGATAGAAGGGAGTCAATCCTGGCTCTATGCAATTCCCAGTGGGAAAAAAAAAAAAAACAATCCATCCGCCGCAAGCCAGTTCAACCCGTCTGTAATAGTAAATGACTTCAGCCCGGCTCCACCCAGGCCACATCTCCAACGCGTTTCATCCACCAACATGGCTCAGTCATGAAGGACTAACTGGTTGAACCGTGTTAGGGGCATGGCCTGGAAGAAGTCTGGCTGAAGTCGTCTATGACTGAGCTGGTGTGGATGGTTTTTCTTCACAAAAAAATAAAAAATTCCATATTGCAGCATACCCGTTCTTGGATGTGGTGGTTGCAGAAGGTGTTTTTCAGGCATTTTCTAGTTACCTGGCTGTTATTGTTAAGACGGTTCTGTCTTTTGAGAGAAGGTGAAGGTATTGTAAAATGATGAGCTCCTCTCTCTCTCTCTGCTCATGAGCATGCTCATTGTCAGCACATGAACTGGCACCATGTGCTGCTTCTATGTCCATGCTCCAGCCCTGTTGTACAAGGACTGCAAGAAGCTGATACCAATTTGAATTACTGTACTTTTCAACATTTAATTAAATTTATTACAGATCTGCATTTAATTTGTGACGACTTTTCCATACCTACAAAAAAACTACTCTTCCATTTAAATGTTAGCCGAGCATAGTGGAGGGATGACTGTAAATGTGTATGTATATAAATGAAAATATAATATAAATGTGTGTGTGTATATATACATAATGTATATTAAGTAAATTTTTTTTTTTTTTTTGTTCCTCCCAGGCGTGCACAGAGATGGTGATGCCAATTTGCCCTGATGGAGTTGGTGACATGTTTGAGCCCCAAAAGTGGAATTTCGATGTCTATTCAGATGACTGCTTTAAACAGTGGGGAGTGCGGCCTCGTGAAAAATGGATCACAACCATGTATGGTGGGAAGAACATCAGTTCTGCCAGCAACATCATCTTCAGGTAGGAATGGTAATACATGTAGGTGGGTAGAAAAAAAAATAAATCTGTCCTTTTTTTATGTCACAGCCTTTTGGGTGGGCCATCTAGTGGTCCTGTTTGCAATAGTAACAGTTTTTTTAATCTGTCACCTACTTTTCTAGATGTCCTATAGTGGGTATAAAGTCTACACACCCCTGTTTTTTTTTTTTTTAAATGTCAGGTTTCTGTGATGTTAAAAAATCCTTTTTCCACACTTTTTTTTTTTTTTTTTTTTTTTTTTTTTTTTTTTTTTTTTTGTGACCTATAAACTGTATAACTCCGGTTGAACAACAAACTGAAATCTTTTAGGTGGAGGGAAGTAAAAATGCAAAACTACAATAATATGGTTTCATAAGTGTGCACACCCTTAAACTAATCCTTTTGTTGTGCACCTTTTTTGATTTGATTCCAGCCAGTCTTTTTGGGGAGGAGTCAATCAGCATGGCACATCTTGACTTGGCAATATTTGCCCACGCTTCCTCCAAAATCCACTCCAAATCTGTCAGATTGCGAGGGCATCTCCTGTGCACAGCCCTCTTCAGGTCACCCCACAGATTTTCCATTGGATTCAGGTCTGGGCTCTGGCTGGGCCATTCCGAAACTTTCATCTTTTTCTCGTGAAGCTATTCCTATGTTGATTTGGATGTATGCTTTGGGTTGACAAAGTCCCTCTTCATGTTCAGCTTTCTAGGAGAAGCCTGAAGGTTTTGTGCCAATATTGACTGGTATTTGGAACTGATCATAAGTCCCTCTACCATGACTAAGGCCCCAGTTCCAGGTGAAGAAAAACAGTCCCAAAGCATGATCCTACCACCACCATGCTTCACTGTGGGTATGGTGTTCTTTTGGTGATGTGCAGTGTTGTTTTTGCACCAAACATCTTTTAGAATTATGGCCAAGAAGTTCAACCTTGGTTTCATCAGACCTTTAAAACATTTTCCCACATGCTTTTGGAAGACTCCAGATGTGTTTTTGCAAAATTTAGCCGGGCTTGGTTGTCTTTCTTTTTTAAGAAAAGACTTCCATCTTGCCACTCTACGTGAGATTGTTGTCACATGTACCACACAGCCAGTACTTGCCAGATATTCCTGCAGCTCCTTTAATGTTGCTGTAGGCCTCCTTGGCAGCTTCCCAGACCCATTTTCTTCTCGTCTTTTTATCAATTTTGGATGGATGTCCAGTTCTTGGTAATGTGAATGTTGTGCCATATTTTCTCCACTTGATGATAACTGTCTTAACTGTGTTCCATGGTATATGTAATGCCTTGGAAATAATTTTGTACCCTTCTCCTGACTGATACCTTTTAACAATGAGATCCCTCTAATGCTTTGAAAGCTGTCTGCGGACCATGACTTTGTCGCTGTAGGATGCGACTAAGAAAATGTCAGGCCTTCTAGAACAGCTGTACTTTATTTGGGGCTAATCAGAGGCACTTTAAATGATGGCAGGTGTGTACTGACTCCTCTTTAACATGATTTTGAATGTGATTGCTTAATTCTGAACACAGCTACATCCCTAGTTGCACACTTGTGCAGCCATATTATTTTTATCCATCTCCTAAACGATTTCAGTTTGGTTTTTTTTTAATTGAATTGTACAGTTTACAATGGTCACATTAAAAGTGGAAAGTTCTGAAATTTTATTTATTTTTTTACATCACAGAAACCTGACATTTTAATACGGGTGTGTAGATCTTTTTTTTTTTTTTTTTTTTTTTTTCCCCCACTGTATATGGCCAAGAGGGAAACAATTAATCTGATCTCAGATGATATACAATATTGCCAGATCTAATTCTGAATAGCCATCAGCATGGAATGAAAAGGATCTTCAAAACATCTCCTTCTCTTTCTGTGGGATCTAGACCAGGGCTTAAAATTTCAAGTCCTGAGCTACTAGCCAGACCTTAGAGTTACTTGCCACCAACAAACAGACACCTGTACACACGCACAGAGACGCGTGTACACACACACACGTATACAGACATGCATGCATACACACACACACAGACACACATGTACATGTGCGCGCGCACACACACACAGACATATGTACATACACGCAGATACATGTACAGATACACACGTACAATTGCATGTGCATACACAGATACACACCAATACATACATGTACCCTCCCCCATAAAAAGTTGCAGTACTTCGTTGTTCACTCACAGATCCGGGTACTGCACTCTAGGGGGAGGCAGAGAGCAAAGCACACACTCCTTGCTTTGCTTTCACTGCACTCAGTTATTGAGCAGTCTAATGGCTCCCATTGCCAATGACATATCCGGCCTGAGCTCCGAGCCTGCTCAGCAAGACGGCCCTGGGACACACACTCGCCCCCACCATAATTTCCACTTGGTGAGCAGGTGAGTGGACATTTCAAGCCCTGATCTAGACCATTGTACATGGTGCCAAAACTAAACTCCCAATCTAGAGCTGGTTGTAAAGTTTTCAGTCTCTTGCAGTAGAATATAAAAACTGTTCCAGCTGAGGCTTTCTTGATTGAACCCGTGTATGCAGTTCTTATATGAACTTTCTGGTAATTGAAAACCTCTGAATTTTTCCCTATAAGGGAATCTGAACATGTGATTCTTTTCCAGTAATGGTGATCTAGACCCATGGTCGGCTGGAGGAGTCAAGCAGAGCCTCAGTGATTCGCTGGTCGCCATTCTTATACGGGATGGAGCTCACCATCTGGATCTACGCTCCAATAGCGCTTATGACCCGAAGTCCGTGATCGAGGCTCGCGCTCTGGAAGTGGCTTACATGAAGAAATGGATTAATGAATTCAGACAACAGTTGAACATTCAGGACTTATAACATTCTGTCTTTGGAAACAGACTTTGAACGCAGGGATTGCTGGATTGTCATATCTTCTCAGGGCCTTTTTTTAATGCTGATTTACCTAGAAAGCTTTATTCTGTCTGAAAGCAGTAGAAATTGCTCCGTGTTAAAGCAGATCTATAACCGATGCAGAAACATGTTTTGGAGGAGTTCTGCTATTATTGAAAATAGGTGCAACCCTAAACCACATCTGGGAACTGTATTCTGAACACTGGAGGGACCCCCTAAGCTTCAGCCTTTGTTCCATTCCTATCGCACTCCTTCCTGGAAGAAGAGTGGAGTTTGGGGGCACTGCAGTAACAACCAGCTGGTATCAGAAGAATGAAGTGGGTTTCCAACACATTATGGATACCTATTGTATAGTCCAGATATTTATTTTGTGCTTTAATAAGTATCCCAACTATATAAGATGGATCCATGGTGTGCTGGTGACACGCACTTTTTGCCTTTCCTAAACTGTATCAGAAAACTGCACTTTTTGAAGTGGGGGAACCCCTAAAAAGCATCAGGGATCTGTACCCTGAACTGCATCACTAGTTCTGTTTTATTCCTACTCCTTCCTGGGCGAAGCCTGGAGTAAGCTTTTTGTAGCACTAAGTAGCTGGTCAACTGGTATCCAGATAGAAGAAAGTGTATACTGCCAGTACCTAGTGGATCTACTGGGGTTGGACAAAAAAAAAAAAAAAATGGAAACTCTACATGATTTGCAGGTGTGAAAGTGATGACATGTTTCTAATTGAAATCGGAAGTGATGTAACATTCTTTTACTTCTGCTGTATGATGAGACCCCTAGCTGACAAGTGGGAAGCTCATTTTCGTCATTCACTGTGTGAAATGCTAGTAAAAAAGGAGTCCTGACAGAGCTTACTGAGCTTCAAACATGGAAAATTGGTGGTGCCTACTAAGCTGGTTCCTATGTGACTGAAGTTGCCCATTTATTTGCCGTGTCGCAAGGTACACTATCAAAGGTTATGACGGCGTATACAGTTTCTGAGAAAATCTAATCGGTAAGCATAAGTGTGGCCTGCATAAGACAAAAGGACATTGCGCAGGGTTGTGACCCGGAGTAAGAAGACAACTGCTGCAAAAGTGACTGCAGAGCTCAATCTCAGTCCAGTGAAGACTGAGACTGAGCTCTGCAATCACTTTTGCAGCAGTTCTATTTTGGATCACAATCTGATGGGAGGGCACTTCCACTTCAATGTGAAACATGTAGTCTTTCCATATTTTTAGTGTTTCCATATTTTTTTTTTTCATAGGCTTTTTTGAGTTTGGGCAAGGACACCGGGGCCCCATGAGTTGTCAGTCTGCCCCTGGTTCTCACCACACTTTTATGGCACACACAGTTTCAGGAAAGAACAAGCTCTGGCCTGCCTACAGAACCTCTTGCAGTACCATGATGGACACATTTGAAATGCCCTCCATGCATTGTAGGATGCTGGGGGCTGTAAATGCTGACCAGTGTTCTTTGAGCTGCAGTTTCTGCGGTTGTAGGGCTGTCCAGTTGCACAGTTTGTTTTCTAAAGATATGTTTTCTTCCTAAATGATTGTATTTTAGGCATTTTTTGCTTATACGTCAAAGCAATTTTGTCTCAAATATTAGAAGTGTAACCTATCCTCCCCAGGTCCCAGATGCATACTTACCTGGTTACCTAAGCTATGGTCTACTGCAGGTGTCTCCAAACGTTCCCAACAAAAAGGCCAGTTTCCTGCCCTTCAAACTTTAGCGGGGCTGGACTGTGAAATTGGTGGAAGTAAACCATGCCATAGGCTTGGTGGTCAGTGGGAGTAAAAAAAAAAAAAAAAAAAAAATTACATCCTTCGCATCAGTGGGAGGAATAGTGCCCCATCATTTTGTGTCAGTGGAAGGAATAGTGCCCCATCATTGGCGTCGGTAGACAGAATAATGACCCATCATTGGTGTCGGTAGGAGAATTGGTTCTCCATCTCTGGTGTCAGTGGAAGGAACTGTGCCCCATCATTGGCATCAGTGGGAGGAATAGTACCTATGATTAGTGAAAGGAATAGTGCCTCAAGGGCCAGATAAAGGCAAACAAAGGGCCACATCCAGCCCATGGGACACAGTTTGGAGACCCCTGGTCTACTGCATTCTTTACATCCTGTGGCCAGCTTGGTTATCTGTGTTGTAAGATATCGTAAAGCATCATCCTGAAGCATAAAAAGGTCACGAGTAAAACCTGCTACAAGATGCAGCTTGCCACTGTAGTCTTCCCCATGATGCAGCTTGCCACTGTAGCCCACCACCAGATGCAGCTTGCCACTGTAGCCTGCCACCATGTGCATTTTGCCACTGCAACCTGCCACATGATGCAGCTTGTCCCTTGCCACTGTAGTCTTCCCCATGATGCAGCTTGCCATTGTAGCCTGCCACCATATGCAACTTGCCACTGCAACCTGCCACATGATTCAGCTTGTCACGTGCTGTTGTAGTCTTCCTCCATGATGCAGCTTGCCACTGTAGGCCTAACCACCAGATGCAGTTTGTATCCTGCCACTGTAGCCTGCCACCAAATGCAACTTGCCACTGCAACCTGCCACATGATGCAGCTTGTCACTTGCCACTATGAAGCCGTCCACCAGATGGTGAAGGCTTTGTAACTTGGGATCTACAACAGGAGTCCCCAACCCCTGGTCCGTGGCTTGTCAAATCACAAACAGACTGCTAAAGTTGTCCACTATACTAGACGATCCTGTTAGATCTGTCTTTATATGGGTAGAAAAAATCTGCTCGGGCAGGAATTGTTTGGGGGGTCCTGAGCCCTGCAGTGTGACTTACAAATGGTCATTTCCATGGAAACAAGTTTTCCATGGAAACTTTTTCCAATAGGGATATAAAAATATTTCAATATATTTTTCCTAACGGGGAAACCAGTTTACCAGAAAGCTTGCTCAAGAAGACAAAAGTCTCCAACTTTAGAAAGTCTTTAAAAGAACTTTTGTAATCTGTCACAAGGACTGGATCCTTTTTTGTGTAATTTTTTTTTTTTTTTTTTTTTTTAACCGATGTGCTTGTGTGATGTGCTTTTTTTTCCCAGACTTTTTTGTACTGTTCTGACAACCAGCAACCTTATCATGGCAATAAAACTTATTTCTAATTTGTGATTCAACATGACTGGGAATTCTTGACCAGAAATGATATTTAAAGCATTCCTAAACCCACAACCGTAAAATCAGTCTGTATATACATTAAAGCATGCTTGTTCTACTCGCTTTGGAACCTAAGGGGTTAATCCTCTCCACTGTGTAACAAGTCTGTCTGATCCTGTCTTCTGTGATTCTCCCCTTCTACTGTTCCCAATCCATCTGCTGATAAAACAGCCTTTGGGGGGCAAGCTGCACATGCTCTGTTTGGTGTGTATTGCTAGAGAGGGTGCATGTGATCAGCACAGGGCCAATCAGTGCTGTCCAGGGGGTCAGGGGTCATGCGGCCTTATTGGACAGTTGGAGGAGAATGAAAACTCCAAGCTTCAGCCAGTGCTCTGCTGGACATTGATAGAAGTCACAAGACTGCTCTAATTGCTGATGAGAAATGGTTATCAGTTTTATATTTACTAAAATAATTCCACTTCCATCTTCTGTGTACTGTGGGAGACCAGATATAGCAAATGCAGGGTCCTGGGTTTACTGACACTTTAAGTCGCGTAGATTGGAGCCAGTTCCATTGAAATCAATGGGCTGCGACTTGTCACATGACTTTGTATCCAAGGTTTCATGACAAGTCATACTAGTGTGAACGGAACCTTACTGTGGGCAGGTGGCACAGACAGGCTGGATCACATGCATGTATGTCATCCAGCCTCTGGTATGATCTAGTCACAGTGGATGCAGGGTCCTGGTGTTTAGAAACACTTTAAGTGAACTTCTAATGGCTATGGTCAATTTTCTTTCCTTTAAAAGGGAAGTAGGGCTTTTTAAATTTCTCCCCCCCCCCCCCCCCCAATTATACTTGCTCAGGTGGATGCAGTATTGCTCTGATGCTGCATTTGTCCCCCACTGGCTCTAAGTATGAGAACTCAATGATCACATGACCGCTGAGCTCCCACATCTGCTCTGAGCATTGGGCTGTGGAGGGGGAGGTAGCGGCTAGCTCAGGCTCTCAGCGGCACACTCATAGCCTGAGTCTGGAGCCCCTCCAGGGGTTGGGTTGGATCCTGACTTTAAAGTAATACTTAAGCCTTTTTTCTTCCCTTACTTTTTTTTTTTTTTTCAAATTTAAAAAAAAAAAAAGTTATATTGGCTTGCTCTGTGTAAAGTGGTTTGTGAGGTTTTTTTTTTTTTTTTTTTTTTTTTTTTTTTTATGCACCGGGCAGCCCCAATTTTCCTTTTCTCGAGTCCCCCTGCTGGCACTCCTCCCTCCTGATGGGTGCCCCCACAGCAATCAGTCTGCTATGGTGGCACCCGCTGCTCCGTGTGTCCATTCATACACTGAGCCGTGGCTTGGCCCCGCCCTCTCTCTTCTCATGGGCTCACTGGCTGTGATTGACTGCAGCCAATGGCTCCTGCTGCTGTCTCATCCAATGAGGAGAGGGAGCCCTAGGATAGCCAAGACACATCGCTGGATCGAGAGGGGGGCTTAAGTGAGTAGTGGGGGGGGGGGGGGGATGATGCACAGAGAAGGTTGTTTTACCTTCACGCATAGAGTGTATGAAGGTAAAAAAAACTTCAGTCTTTACACCCACTTTAATTGACTCCCGCCTGCCATCTAAGGAAATGATGGAAGCGCAGTGGTTCTCTTGTTGTGGGAGGACATTGTATGACATCTTCCCACGTGTGCGTGTGGCGATATGTGGTCTGCTGTGTCCCTGGAACACAGCGGATCAGCGGAAAGAGCTGATGATCGCATTTAAATTAGGAAATGCCAGTTATCGGCAATTCTCCCCTCGTGAGCTGTCACGCTGACCGATGGTGAGGAGAGCCGGTACTCGACATTCCACAGTGTCCTGATGATCACTGTA